AGTCTGCTCCAAACAGGAAGCTTCTTTCAACAAACCAAACAAACTCCAGACAACTTTCATCCAATCAGAGCAGAGCAGAGGGTCAGCAGGAGCAGCAGTCCTCCTGAAGGAGTACCCTCCCCCGTCCCCTCAGGTACACACTCACCTGTCTCTGTGCAGCCTCAGACTGGCCGCTGCCGCCGGCAGCTTCACTTCCTCTTCCTGTTTCCTTGTCTTGAAGCGCCAGAACTTCAGCAGCCAATCAGAGCCGCAGGAGAGAGTCAGCTGGTTCAGCATGTCCGTGGCAACACCTCGCACCACGCCACTGTGAGCTGGAGGGCAGGGGGCGGGGTTAATGACAGACAGACAGCGGACGGAACTATGGAACAGGTGAACACACCTGTCTCTTGGTCACCAAAGCAACCACGGTGCAGCCCAGACTGCAGGTTGTAGACGTCAACACGGCCGCAAGACGAGCCGATTACGGCGAAGTTTCCACAGGAAGTGATGTCGACGGCCTGGGATGAAAGACAGGAGGTGGGTCTAAAAAGGGGGCGGGGTTTAAGGAAGCAGCTTTGTAAGTGGTATGCAGTTACCGTGGCGACGGCGTCCCTCCTGGACCCCGGGGGCTTCAGCTGGTGAGCTCCCATGGTGCAGCGCTGGTAGTTCCAGGTGGTGGCGGTCAGCCGACCTCGATGACACGCCACGATACCGTCCCAGTCCGACTGACGACTGACAGCTGTCAATCACCAAGTAGAGCATTATCAGAGTTCTGTCAGGATTTCTGTAAGGGGTTCTGTCAGAAGTTCTGTCAGAAATTCTGTCAGAAGATCTGTCAGGGGTTCTGTCAGAAGTTCTGCCAGAAGTTCAGAAGTTCTATCAGACGTTCTGTCAGGGGTTCTGTCAGGAGTTCTGTCAGGGGTTCTGTCAGAAGTTCTGTCAGAAGTTCAGAAGTTCTATCAGACGTTCTGTCAGGGGTTCTGTCAGGAGTTCTGTCAGGGGTTCTGTCAGAAGTTCTGTCAGAAGTTCAGAAGTTCTA